AAGTTAAGGTGAAGTCAGTGAAGTCCTCCTCGCTTATAAGAGGGAAACTTGGACAGAGACACGCAGAGAAGACACACAGAGGGAAAACAGCCACATCATGACAGAGGCAGAAATTACAGCAGGGAAATACTAAGGATTGCCAGCAACCTTCAGAAGCTGGAAGAGGCAAGGAAAGATTCTTCCCTGGAGCCTTCGGAGGGAGCACTGCCCTGTTGACACCTTGATTTTGGACTTCTAGACTTCAGAATAGTGAGATAATAAACCCATCCTTTTACATCACGAAGCTCATGGTAGGTAATTTGTTATGGTAGCCCTAGGAAAATGAATACGATTCTAACATGCATCTTGGAAACTGTGCTACACTAAAAGCACCTGTCTACCGTTTACAATTCAACTCAAACAATGCTTTAGTTTCTACAAGACAGCCTCAGGAACAGCACGAATACCAGGTGCCCCTAGAGCATGTAACATGAGTAACATGAAGGCCTAAACAGGACAAGCACCATTTACTGTTAGCCTCCAGCCCTTCCCTGGTTCCCAGGGAGCCAGCACTACTCCAGAGATGATTCAGCGGAGACTAATTCTAGCTGAAAACACTTAGGAAAAAGAAAGTAAAAAAAGAAAAAAAAAAAAAAACAAATGAAAGTTATGCTGAAATTATCAAAATATCAAATAGGAAGACATACTCCTATTTCAGGTCAATCCTAACCCCTATGCCTGAATTTAGACAGATTACTAGGATAAAGGAGCAGATACTTTTCATTTACCTGTCAAAAACTAAACTGGAAAAAAACATTCCTTTACAGTTGGAATTATCTAGTGGTGATCACATTAACCAAGCGGTCAAACTTAGTATCACCAGCAGGACAACCTGGAACTAGGTGCCTATGCTAGAATATCGAGTACACAGCATCACTATGAAGTATTCTTGCCAGAAATATTTAACCCAAATCTATTAATAACCAAGCCTTTAGACCTGACTTCCAGTTTACAAGAAAATAGACAGGATGAAAAAGTAATCCAAGGAAATCATAAATCCAAAATCTGAGATATTCATAAATGGCCTGGCCTCTTCGAAAGTCAGTATCATGGACGTAAAAAGGTAGGAGGACCATTTTAAATCTTAAAAAACTAGAGAAACAAAGCTGCAGTACTAGCTACTCAGGAGGCTGAGGCAGGAGGACTGCTTGAGCCCAGAAGTTGGAGGCTGCAGTGAAGCTATGATCGTGCTTGCGAATAGCCACTGCACTCCAGCCTGGCAACAGAGCGATACCCCTATCTCTTTAAAAAAAAAAAAAAGAAAAGAAAAGAAAAGAAAAAGTAGAACTCAGGGCTCATTAAACAAGGTAAATCTGAAACTAAAAATTGCCATTGCCATTCACTAGACTAAAAGGTCAAAGAAAATTCAATCTATTTATAAATTACTCCAAAGTGGACCACAATCAAGTGAGGAGGCACTAGGGCCAGTTGCAACAAGGTCTCAATACTAACAATTAGGAGGAGAAGAATTAAGTAAAAAGGAAAGGCCAGGCGTAGTGGCTCACGCCTGTAATCCCAGCACTTTGGGAGGCCGAGGCAGGCGGAGCACGTGAAGTCAGCAGTTTGAGACCAGCCTGACCAACAAGGAGAAACCCGTCTCTACTAAAGTACAAAAAAATTAGCCAGGTATGGTGGAGCATGCCTGTAATGCCAGCTACTCGGGAGGCTGAGGCAGGAGAATCACTTGAACCTGGGAGGTGGAGGTTGCGATGAGCCAACATCACGCCATTGCACTCTAGCCTGGGCAACAAGAACGAAACTCCGTCTCAAAAAAACAAACAAATAAAAAAAAAATGGAAAAAATATTACTTAGGATTATTGACAATGTGGAAAGTCATGACGAAGGACTACGGCTGAACACAATGATTGGTAAGTCTATGTATAGTCTATGTATATTCCCAGGAAGTAGGCTAGGCTTCTTGGATTCTGAAGGTCAATGTAACAAATGTTTCAGGTCAGGCACGGTGGTTCATGCTTGTAATCCTAGCACTCTGGGAGGCTGAGGTGGGTGGATCACCTGAGGTCAGGAGTTCAAAAATAGCCTGGTCAATATGGCGAAACCTCATCTCTACTAAAAATACAAAAATGAGCTAGGCATGGTAGCACACACCTGTAATCCCAGCTACTCGGGAGGCTGAGGCAGGAGAATTGCCTGAACCCAGGAGGCAGAGGTTGCAGTGAGCCAAAATCACA